AACCTGAAAATACTCTCTCCCACAACAGTAGCATTTTCACAATGTCCCCTCAGGTGTGGTGTACCAGCACACACACACACATGTCCCAACTGTTGGAGGACCTGAGACACTCCTGACAGGTGATTAACAAGGTGTGACATTTCCCCCCTCCTCCCTCTAGTCCCTCCACACCTCCATCAGACATCAATGCACAGGAGGCTCAGTCAGTGCGAGGTATAATTACATCAGTCACACAAATGTCCTTCACATGTCGACAGCGTGGTTGAAGCAGTTTGACGAGGAAACATAGAAATAAAGCACACAGACAGGAGAAGGGAACGTTCCTACAGAAAGACAAACGCTGTGTGAAAAAAGTCAGAGGGTGACTTTTTCCACATGTATCTGTAATGGAGAGGTGAGAGCTGACTAACGAGTGTGTCACTCAGTGGAAGGTGTGTGAGCTCGGTCCACTAACACCCCACCAGGTCTGTCACTCTGACTCTGCACCCCCGACATCTACAGTAATCCACCATCATAATTATTCATCACGACAACTTCCAAAAGCAGAGGCAGCATTAATGCTGTGAGTTCTGGACCAACACTGAGCCACAGCCACTGAATAGAGTCAAAGATGATCAAAGACATCCAACAAAGCTGAAGTCAAAATAAAAGCCCTTTGTATCACAGCTGGGTAGGAGAACTCTAATGAAGGCCACGGCACCAAATGTCATCTGGACGTGGGGGTGGGGGAGGTGTGTGTGTGTGTGTGTGTGTGTGGGGGGGGGGTTGCACATCAGGTATTGAACTTCACGTCTTTCTTTATTCCTGAATCTAATAAATAAATGAACTAACAAAACAGTTGAAGAATTTAATTGGTGACATTTAGCTGCAGGACGAATTTTAGGGTTTTGTGGTCCGCAAGTGGTCCTCGCCCTGGGAGTTTGGCACCCCTTTATTACAGTTACAGAACTGTAAATTATTGGCTTGAGTAACATACCCCCCGTAGGATTAATTGTCAAAGCCTTGGTTTTTCATTTGTCATAATTACCATAACTCCTCAAGATCGTCACGTTCAGGTCCAATTGGAGAAAACGACGCTTGGAGATGAACCGACCAATGACTTGATATGTGCTTCCCAAGATTGAAATAATTTAGTTTATTTAGAGGTAATATATATGTGTTACACTGCAATGGACTGTGTGGGTGAAAAAAGAAGATTAAGGGTTAAATGCTCCACACTGTGTGCATGCCTTTGCCTCAGTAATCTGCTGAAGGCAGGAGCTTCAGCTGGAGAAAAATCCCGGGGTTATTTCAGGACAAGTCTGAGTCGAGCCAGACCGTTCCAGAGCACTCAGTGGACCCAAATCTTTATTTTTTTATGAACTAAGCTAATAATTCAAGAACCTTTGATGTGTATTTAGGGAGAAAACAGGATTTAAATCCTTTTTTTGAACCATGTTTTTATCTCCTCTGCCAGAACTTCTATGGCTCTGAGTGCAGCTGTCTGACCTGATAAGGTCTTTGAACAAGAACAGAGACAAAGACAGGGAGACAAAGAGGGATGATACAGAGACACACAGAGAGGGACAGAGGGACAGAGAGGGACACAGAGGATGTGACATGAAAATATAAGAAAAAACATGGAATGAAACTGTGATTGGACAGATTGGAGGGCCATGTTAGGAGACAACTGATGTAGAAACACAGAAGTAGAACAGATCTACTGTGGTTTACGTCTTTACACACACACACACAAGCACACACACCTTCAGCTCTAATTATGTTCGAATGTATAAACACAAGGCCTGATCACTTGTCACCTAAGCAGAAAAAGGTTAGAGTGATTCGTGATCGCCCTCCAGTGTCAAACAACGGTAACTACAGCGTAAACATGAATCAGCACCAGGCGGTGGACAGCTCCCCAAACTACCCAACAGTGTGTGACAACCAGATTTCACATCTTTAAAATAATAAAATTATTTCACTTTATTTATTTTTGTTTTTTTCTACACGAATTCCAAAGCAGACATTCATCTGCTGCCAAACTGACTGATGTCTTTTCATAAAAACTGACATCGATCATCTGGACAGGCTGGGGACGATGGCAGGGTCATGTGACCAGGTCAGTTCCTGTGTGTGATCTTGTTCATTGGTGTTTGTGCATGTGTGTGTTGGGAGGTGCTCAGCGGGTGGAGGTGGAGGTGGGGGCTTGGGGGTGGAGGTTGACAGGTTACAGTATTATGAAACAATAAAATCTGGACAGCTGATTCATATGTGGGCATAAAAGTCAGACTTTTGTTAGGTTCCACTTTAATGAAACCTATAATTTTTGACCCCTCATCCCGCCTGCACCCCTCCCACCCCCCAGTGTTATTGCTCTGGAGCAGAGGGACTGGTCATAAAGAGAGATGTTCTGAGCAGGTTCAATCAGAGAGATCGTCAACGTGGAAGAGGCGTTAACTGTTTAAGGTTTACACACATCTAATTAAAAAAAACAACTCATAAATGTATCAATAGATCATCACGTGCTTCAGTCGTTAACTGAAACAGATCAGAGTTGTCACATCAACAGTCCATCACATCTAATGACAATTTTTCTTTTCCTGTATCCTACTGGAACAGACAGACCGATATCAGCAGGTAGAGGTCAGTGTTTCCCATCTGTTTTTATCTGTGATTCATCCAAATGATAGAGTCATAAATCTGGCCAAAGGTCCATAAAATCCTCCAACAGTCTCAGTGAAAATGTCTCTTCATAGAGTTGGTGTATTTCAGTCATTACTGTTCATCTGGACGGTGTCTTGGAGAACGTGTGGAGAGTTTCTTTCTAGACTGCAGTCTGTTGTGACTGTTGTGTCAGTCATAGACTCACTGACTGTCCTGATCTGTGTCAGGCTGCTCTTATGCAAGTTGGGCTGCAGACCTGAGGTTGAAAACCTCCACAAACACATGCTGGGAGATGATGATGGGATGATTTAAGATCCAGGAGATTCAGTGAAGGTGTCACTGACAACACGATTGTATTGACTATAACTATACTGTCATGTCATTCAGTGTTAACATTTTTTTTTAGATATTTTAATCCAATGTTCAAAAATGAATCAATGATTAACACAGTAATTTTGCCCTTCTAATTACTAACATATGTACCATACAGTGTACACATACACACGTGTTACAGATGTGTAAATATGTTTAAGATGCGGAGTGAAACCTGGTGTTACAGACACAGAGCTCACAAATTCAATCACCTCAGAGTTGACTGCAATGTTATTGTGTCGCTGGAAAATATGGCTTCATCCTTGTGTGTCCAGAGTGTGTGCGCATGTGCGTGTGTGCGTGTGTGGGATTCATTTATGAAATGCCATGAATGTATGGAGTGAGAAAGTATCCAATGAATGCTGAGTGAAAATGTATGACTTGGTTTACAGAAATGACACTGTTAGGAACTCAAAGCTGCCACAGCCTGCTGTATTACCTTATACTGCCGAGAAAAAAAGGTCAATCAAATAAAGTGAGAGGAGCAGGTTACACAGAGTAAGTGATGCCTGGTGTGAGATAGAGCAAAGATTGTAAAACACATGCTATCAATCAAAAGAAGAAAAAAAATCCTGGCAGTGATTGGAGGAGAGAAGAAGTGGAGCAGATCCACAGTGTCAGCAGTTTTTAACCAGTGAACCAACATGTTCCTCATCTTCTGCCGCTCTCCTTTATCTCTGTTGACCTTAGGATCTCAGCATAGGAAAACACACGCACACACACACACACACAAAGAACAACCAATTCTTGCTGATGATATGCCCTTGTCAGCAGGTCTGAGTCCCTGAGCTCAGCATTTTCAAATAAAAATCCCAGAGGACTTCAAACACAACCATCATTAAGTGCCTGATGATGTAAGACTTCAAAGTTTGTTTTCTTTTAAAATAATACTGCGCGCGCACACACACACACACACACCTGCCTGCCTGCACCCACAGTCATGTGATCAGCTGACGATCACATATTTGTTCAAATCTCTTTCTCGTCTTCTCTCACCGACTACATTTGGACAAATCTGTGTGCGTTTCATTAATGAAACATTAACTCCTGTCAAACTCAGGGTCTGCACCAGAGCCTGACATGAGTGTGGCTGTCCTAAAATATATTAATAGTCTGTAGCATAAAAGCTAAAGTACTGTTTACTGGATGGTTGAATGCAGTAGACAAATCAATCGAACATTAGCCATGAGCTACATCTCCCATAATGCATTTAGGGACAAGCCTAGGTAATTTCACCGATAATTTCACCAATTTTAGAAAATGCAGCTACTTTTGAGTTTATTTTGACATGTACATCCAGAACGTTTGGTTTAACATAAAAAAAAAAAAAGAACGTTCCGGGCTGTCCCCGAGATTGAACCTGCTTGTTGACTTCAGGCTGAGAGATTAGGTGAGAAGTGTGTGTACACTGTGTGTTCTGCCAAAGGGCTGCAGCAGACATCAGTATAGAATTATAATGACCAGAACAGGCAGCGCAGAAAATCCTGGGGATTTACTGTGGTCTGGGTAAATGAAGGGGAGCTGGGCTAAATGAGAATGACTGCTCCACTGCTGCTGTTTAGGGTGGGGGCGGGGGTGTTAAAGAAATAAAAAGATGGAAAGGGAGGGAAAAAGGGGGGAGACAGAGGGAGACATATAGAGTGAGAGACAGATTGTTAAAGGAGAGATTAAAAAGAGAGAGAGGGAGAGGTGTAGAAAATTAAGAGTAAGAAGGAGGTAAAGAGGGGGATGAAGAGAGAGAGGGGGAGAGTATCTCAGACCAAAACCTCTAAAGCAGTTGCACACAGCAGAAACAGCTGATAAACACTGCCCTCTTCTGGCAGAAACAACTTTACACACGTATACTACTACTACTACAAAAGTCCAGCAGCACCTGAGCTGTCTGAGCACACACACACACACACACACACACAGGCTCATTCCCGTGCGGCCACGGCGCAGCCTGAAGGTTTAAATAATTAAAGTCTGTAGACAGGACTTACTGGGGTGCCGCCGTCAGACAGGGTTGTCATGCTGATTGACATGCTCATCTTGTCGGAGGAGGAGAGGGAGGGTGGGGAGGGGCTCCTCTTCTCTGCTTCCTGTCTCTGGAGGAAGTCACGCCAGGCCCGCTGGATTCTGCAAGACATTGTGAGTGAGAATGAGTTCTGGACCAAAGAAGTTAAACAAGTGAAGAAAAAAAACTCTTACTCACATGAAAACCTTGTTCTCAACTGATGTCATGTTGATGTTGTTATCAAGGTCCATGGTGAGATGAGAACTGACCGAGAAGAGAGAGAGAGAGAGGGAGAGGTGAGGTGTACTCAGAGGACACGTGCGCGTACGTCTGTGTCACAGTCAGGGTCATCAGTAATTAACAGCTTTATCTCTGTGGGGGAATCAGCCGCTGTGTTGTTCTTCATAAATACTGTTCGGTTAGTGTGTGTGTGTGTGTGTGTGTGTGTGTTTGTAAATACTAACTTCTGCTGCTGGAAATCTCCATCACTGACAGTCTTGAAGCCACTCTGGAGACTCTTCAGCTGCTCCTGTTTGGGGGACACAGAGGACAGAGGCTGGACAGTCAAGACACTGTGGTTCAACAGGAAAATCTACTTCTACTTTTTTTTTTCTCACTTTTGTACAAAGAGCACTAAATTCACAAAAACACAGTTGGAAGAAAATCACTTTATTGGATAAAACCAAAGTTCAACCCCTTCATTGTTTGTGTCTAAGGCTCTGTCAGCAGCAGACTGAACAGACTGTTCAATAAATGTTCCTCCTGTTTGGCCCACAACTGAGACTCTGAGTGATGCGGTTTGACAGACCTGGATTAGTGTTCAACTGGTAGTAACAGTGTGTACGTGTATCTGTGGGTGTGTGAATAAATGCACCACAGTGGTGGTGGTGGGTGTGTAGGTGGAGGGAGTGGGGGGGCAGGNAGGGCCACCAGCAGCTCCAGCAGACAGTGGTTTGACAGTGATTTGGCTCAGTTTAATGTTTTCCTGTTATGTCGGTGGAATAAACTTAGGTGGAGGGGGCGGGGATGGGGGTGGCAAATCACTAGCTCAGCACTTTTTTAAAAAACATTTGGCTGAGAAGCATGCTGAGGATGGAAGGAGCAGAGTGGACCGCAGAGAGAGACAGAGGGGGTGTAACACACACACACACGCACACACACACTGAAGAGCTGTGTGTGGAAACACACACATTCATCTTCCTCCTGATCTTCCCACCTGTTGATTTTCTATCATCATGTGTACTTAAATAGAACTATAAACACATGTTTCTTCATAACGGAGGAGTAACTGATGTCATCACCATCAGAGCAGTGGTCTGACACTTCTTATCCAAAAGATTCATATAAATCCATAACATAAAGATAAAAAAATTGGAATTCATATAGATTTTCCCCCCCGGCACATCTCCATCCACAGATAGTGAGTGAGGATCATCAGCAGTTTGTTAAAAGGATGGTAGTTTTCTGCTTGTTTGCCCACTCCTCTGTGTCAGATACTGTTATTTCTCTCTGCTCTGCCTCCCTGAAGGAACAAGCAGCTCATTAAAGAGAATCAAAGACTTCGACTGGTGATCAACGAGGGCTTCAAAGAGCTGCGCTTCATCTATTTCTGTCTGCTTGTCTTTAGTTTCCATTTCTCTCTGATGAAAAGACCATCAGTGAAAACAACACTTTGGTCTGAACCAGACAAACATCCTGGAGGTTTGGTCTCCTGTCAGGTCAGGTCAGGTTCTGCTGTGATACCTACTGGACAAACAACAAAGTACTGCAGTACTGCATGTACCACCACCTGCTTATTGGTCTGGTCTACAAACTAAAGTTCTACAAAGTAAAGTTTAAACGTTTGCTCGTTCAAGTCAGCAGAGAAAAACATCAACACGTGACAAACGTCTCCATCACCTGACCTGAGCTGGGCTTTCAACCCACAACACCACTGGCCTAATGATTCTTTTTGACTGGCTCCACAGATTAATTTACTTGGTGATGACATGATGACATCACATCCTGCCCACCTCGGCAGGACATTACCTCCACAACACTGATCTCAGACTGATAGCTTGCTACGTGTTGAAAATACCTCCCACCAGAGCAGGAGCTGGAGTGAGTGTTGTTGTCCAGACAACATCTATTTAACTCTGTAGAAAGTTGTTATTTTTTTTAGCAGCTATCAGCCCTCCTATCATGGTCTCTGCTGGAGGAGAAACTCTCTGACTGTGTCTGGAGCAGAAATGCCACAAAAAGGTCTGGAGCATAAACCACAGGTTTGCATAGTTTAGTGGCAGAGTGGACAGGAAATCCATAGTCATTTAGGGCTGTGGCAGTGCCAAGGAGGTTTGTATTGATCGTTGCGTGCATGTAATATGTGTGTGTGTGTGTGTGCTGCTCACAAACATGTGCTTTGGTGGATTTACGGGAGAATGGAGCAGAGCAGAGAGGAGAGGAAAAGACAAGGCAGCCAATCAGGTGAAGGAGGGACCTTGAACCCCCCGGACACAAAACCAACATAACGGACCGGGGGGTTAGACACAGAGTGAGAGCATAAATTCTCTTCTTACCCTGGTCTCCCTCTGTCCCTCGTCTCTTTTTTTTATCCCTTCAACCCCCACCTTTATCCCTTTAACCTCCACGTTCTTCCTGACATTTTACACAAGTTTGAAAGTAAACAAAACTGGCAGCAGTAGAGGAACAAGACGTGGAGGTGATGACATCACACCGTGAGCTACTTTGTCCTGGAGAAGACGTCAGGAATAAGGACAGGTATAATGAAGCTGATAGGATCAATATTTAGTTGGAAGGTATCGTTCTCGGGAAAGAGAGAAAGAGAGAGACAGAGAGGACAAGGATGTGTCCCTGTCCTCCCCCAGCTCACAGTCCAGTATCTGCACAGTTAAAGTTTCTTTCACTAGAAAAGTTCAACCTTTCAGCTATGTCCTGAATAACCTGGTCTAATATACAGTAGGCTAATATAAAATAGACTGAGATACAATAGACAAATATACTGTGATGTACAGTACTGTAATATACTGCTACCTAATATACAGGAAGCTAATATACAATAACAAAAATGTCAAAGCTTTGACTAGTTTATCGTTTTATCTCCATCAAGTGTTGCGTCACACTTGACCAGGTTTTCGAACCCTCAAACCTTGGCCACTTTCAAATCAAAGCACAGAACAGTGAAGTACTTCATTAATGTAGTTTTACTGCAGTAAGTCATGGATGTGGTACCAACACCAAACAAAAACATGTGGACTGAGACCATGTTCACATCACACTCAGTACAAACCAGGTGTCAAGGTACCTGTGAGATGAATAGGTCAGAGGACTCATCTGTCATGACTGGGACGGGTTCAAGGTTTGGAGGGAGACGACTGAGGGTGGGAGCAACACAGAAGATGGTGGGGGGGTGATGCACCGCTGGGGACAAAGGGGAGAGGCCGAGATAAAGGCACAGCACTTTGGAGGAGAAGGAAAGTGATTGAGTTGAAAGTCCCTGAGGGAGTGAAGGAGGAGGAGGCAGTATGTAAGTGAGCTCCTCATGGGTTTTAAAGAAGGGCTAGGAGTGTGGAGGGGGGAGTGGAGGGGGTGAAAGAGGGAGCCTCTGGGCTCCGGTGAAATTAAACTGGACCAAAGCCAGTGAGCTGACTATAGAAAGACAGAGGAGAGAGAAGGGGAGAGAGAGGGGGAGATGGGGGGAGGGGGGCGTCGGCCTTCATCTCTGCAGCACAGTGAGGCGTAAATCTGTCTTTTCACCTCTGACTGATCCATAAGCACATATTAACACTCACACTCTTGATTTACATACACCCCTCCCCCCCCGCTCCCCTCAATGCCACCCTAACTCACCCTGGAGGCAGACTGACAAACAAGGAAACAGGGAAGAGACACACATTTGATCAGCCTTTAAGGACAGAGTGGGAGGGGATCAGTCACCTGATGGTGGCGTACTTGACACACTGTTGTTCTTATGAGGTCATTTTCTGCTCCGTCCATCAAACTACAATGATTTGTCTCCTCTTTTCTGCAAAATCGTAGTGTGTGATTAATCATCAGAAAAACAGTTTCCACTTTGTAGTTACTACGATTAGTGTGCATGATCAGGATTGCCAACCGCCCTTTGAACAACTGAATCATCGTATAAAAACGTGTGTATAGAGCTGGGAAGGTAGTATCCAGCCCTAGGATGACGTATGGTTCCACAGTGTAGCAGTTAGTATGCTTGCCTCTGAGGCAGAGAGCTAATAGTCCTGGGTCCAATTCCTACAGCAACCACATATTTGGTGCCTGTTAACACAGGAACTTCGTTCTGTGGGTGTTTGATGTAATTCTTTTTTTTTTTTTTTAAACACAGCCATAAAGCACCAGAGGTTTCCAACTTCTCCACTCTGGAGTCCGTGTACAGAGAGGTCACCGCTCCAAATCCTTCCCCACATGAGTCAGCACACTCCAACTCATAATTCAGAACTGATTGTGCTGATACATAACTAATCACATCTTACTATTTTAACCTATTAGAATAAAGAAGTTAGTTTGACTGATGATTTGTAAGTTTAATTTCAGAACACAGGGAAACTGTGAAACATGCAATTGTGATCTATGAATCATCATATTTATCGGACAAACGTGATAAATAATCTGAATTTTTTTTTCCAATATCAATCAACCCTAATTTTGTCTCCTTCTTTCTTCACTCTCATCTCTTTCTGTTTATCTTCCACTCTGTTCTTCAGTCTCTGAGTTGTTTTTTTTTCTCTTCAATACTTGATGAGTTTCCTGAGGTGAAGGACTGACAGATTCAGGCTCATCATTCTGTCGCCTTTCAGCAACGAGGAGCAGAGACAACGGTGACCTGCTGTGTTTGTTTTTCTGATGAACTCCATTATTGTGTGTACAAAGTCTTCAGACACACACACACATACACAGATACACACATACACTAGGTTTGTGTTTTATGAGCACTTGAGCATTGACATCATTCATTCAGCCACTTACTCAAACTTGATCTAATCTAATCTGACCCTAATCCTAATCCTAAATCTTATCCTAACTCCAAACCAAATCTTAAACCTCAGAAGAAGACATCTTCACAGGTCATTGAAATGTCTTTGGTCTGTACTAGGTTTTTGTCTTCTCCAGCCACCCACCTACCCTTCCTGCCCCTCTCACCTCCTGCAGCTGTAATAACATCAATAAAAAACCAAAATACACTTTTATTGGAATACTGGAATTATTCTGACAAACTCTTGTAATGAAATAAAAGCATTCATTTATCTGTTACCATCTTTAACCTGAGGTTTGGGACAATCGTGAGACTTACGGAAACTTTTCTCCCTGGATTTGCTGCTAACCTGACAATGATGTTAACCTTGAGGCTGAGAGAAAAAATTGTTCAACTGAAAATTCTGTCCAAAAAGCTGTCAGAGGCGGGTCACCTACTGATGATAACTTAGCTGGTTTAAAAACCATCAGACCATCTGCCAAAGAACAGCCTCTATCACTCAAGCCTCCCTGGGGTCCTTCAGCTCAGCCAGGGGCACACACACACACACACACACACACACACACACACACACACACACTCTTTGCTCCACTCTGACACCACCAGGGCTCGGTGTCTTTGAGAAAGCCTGAGAGCAAATATTGAAGACAGATACTGTCCTGGCCAGACACTGTTTGGATACTGACTGTGGTGTGTGTGTGTGTGTGTGTGTTTGCTCTGATCCCAGAGTCACATGAGGACACCATTATCGGTGTCTGGACACTGAATTCTAAACAGAGACTGACACAAACATTCAGATGCGTGCTGGTGTTTCAATGACGTGACAGGACAGAACAGTAAAGAGACAAACAGCAGAGGCTATTGATTCACATCATGATGTAACACACACTTATACGTGTCAAAATGTACAAAGGTTTGCTCTCAGCAACTCATCACAGAGCTGCAGACTGAAGTGGAGGATAAAAAGGAGCAAGAAAAAAATAATGAATGCAGCGCCACCTTCTGTATATACCAGAGAGCAGTTTTAGATGATTTAAGCTCCGCACTACTGTGTATTCTCCCCCTGAGGGTATATAACAGATATGGGCAAACTATGGCCCATGGGCCAGATAAGGTCCGCTATGCTTTTTATTGCAGCCCACCAAACACCGGTACAAGGTTTGGTTTAGTGCATTACAACAAATCAAATGTAATTTTGTTTGACGCCACTACATGGCAGCAGACATCAAATGTGTCAAATTTTACTTTTTATTTTTATCACAGCACCCAAACACTCTACATCCAACCAACACTAAACCAGCCGCTGGTCAAACTTTGGCCTATGAGCTAAAAGGTTTGCCCACACCTGCAATAAAAGACGGATAATACAATGACTAAACTAAGTGTGCAAAGACAACATCCATGAAAACACAGCACTGACAGCAGACATGTCAACTAAGCTCAGTCTGCCCTTTACTGATTATCTTCACAACTGACCTGATGCTGGCTAAATAACTTCCTCTTCCTCCAGGGTCTACGGTCTGCAGACTCTGGAGCTGAATGTGCAGGAAAAGTCACCAGTGGATCAGCAGTTTTTTTTAAATACTTGGACCAACCTGTCTGGCACCAACAGCCAGGGTACTTTCAAAGTCACTTAAATCTCCTTTATTTACCATCCTAGGGCTTTGTGTCGACTCCTCTGTGCCAGTGAAGCCTTTCCACATCAGACGCCTGGACAGGTGTACCTAAGAGTTCTTTAGGTACACCTGTCCAGTTTAACTACTAACCTGGTCAAAATAACTAGGAAGCATATACAAGAACTTTTAAAAAAGAATTTTAAAAAATTGGGAAATTCTTACGTAGAAACAGCTGCAGTACAATATGCCATAAAAACACACCAATTTGATTTGGTTTTTTTTTAATCAACTTAGGATCTTTAAAATTTCAGGTTAAATGTATAGGACCCCCCTCCCACACTCACACACACACACTATATTTTTCTCCTGTGGTGTTTACACGCAGCATATTTCTCCACGTTGTTAGCACCTCCTTCTCCCCTGGTGGGCAATAACCGTGGCCGTAATGGCGGCCGTTAACATGCCAGAACAAACACAGTAAAGCTGCTTTTATAACAACACTCAATACTAGCGCTGTCCTCCATAACAGCACCGCGCTAACCACTGCACTGCAGGTCGGAGAGCCATATATATGCCAATGAGCCGCAGGTAAACCAAACACAACTATAAAGTTTCTTTTATTGGACGTTATAGTCAAACGGACACGTCGGCATTGTTGCTTAATAAGACTGTAAAAGGTGTTGCAGTGAAAGTCGTAAAGAACGTGTTGAGTCAGGATAACATTTTGATCCTGACGTGATCTGATCGTGTTTTTGTTTTTTTTTGGCTTCAGATTTGCGTACTGTCTTTCTGCACAACACAGAATGGTGACATTAAAGCAATGTTTTTCAAACTAGGGGTTATGACTCCATGTGGGGTCGCCTGGAATACAAATAATAATGTCTAGTAAAAAAAGACTGATAAAAAATGAAATAAATTTCTGATAAAGATATTTTTACTAAAAACTATTTTTTATTATTATTATTGTTTCTGCTACGCTGGAAAATGTGTTTCGGACACCTCCCATTGTTAAGCCAATAAGTTGATTACTTCGGGTACTTTAAAATTTAAATATTATTTTACATCATATTGGACTTTGGGCATTAATGTGTTAATATTGATTCCCTAATTTCTGGCTAATGCACACACTCCAGCCCAGTAGGTGGTGGTGATTCTATAATGAGTATCTGTTTTGACATCCCTTCCCACTGTATAAATGTCAATATAGAAATGAAGTTGATGGACAGTCACTGTAGTGTCGTCAATGTTGATGGAACAATTTAGAAAAAGATAAAAAACTCTGCTTTTTCTTTCCCAACAGTTGCAGAAAGGCGTTTCAGATATTGATAATTATGCTAATATCGGACCATTAATATTGGTCGGCCGATACTATGGGACATCAGTCTACCTCCACATTTCTGAAATGACCACAGATTGGACCGCCCTGACGAGAGGCCTGTGAGGCATATGTGGCCCGCAGGCCACTGTTTGGAAAAGCCTTCCGCATAATATTTCCTCTCAGCTTCATCTGAGACATCTTTCGAGAATCTTTGCATCTTCAACTTTATCTCTATAATAAAACACACCTTTTGTCTACTCGGCAGGAACAGAATTAAAGTCACGGTTCAGTTAAACGCCGTGGCCACAGGGCTTCAGCTGGAACCATCCGCCTGTTTTTAGCCTTTTGGAAAGGCTACGTCCACGCATGCACGTTCACACACACACACACACACACACCAATGAAACTGGTCACCTGTGTAAGAGCTCGGAGTAAGCAGTAGCCACTGGCTGTGGCACGCTATAGCTAACGCTTGGCTATGCTCTGAAAAGCAGCAGCAGGGAGGGTAAGACAAGTGGGGGAGGCAGAGAGGCTGTTTATTACAGGCAGCACATTACGTCCCACAGTCAAAGGGAGAAACAAGGCCGTATAAACAATTAATCTGCCCATAAACAAGCCATTCCCCCTGTCCCACACAGAGACCAACAGTCAGGCTTGACAGTGGGAACGGAGAGAGGAGGGGAGGGGGATGAGGAGGAGGCTGGATGGTCTCCTTCCTCCTGGCTTACTCCCTCTCATCATCTCCATCTCTGTCTGATCCCATTTCTCTCAGCTGCTCAGATACATCCACATAATTATGTTTTTATCAGTAGGTTGATCTAAATTCTAAAGGTGTCAGAGTGTGGAGTAAAACAGAACAACGAGGATCAGAATCTAACTTTACATCCTCCTCAAACAACAAGAGAAAAAAAGAATCACTCAGACCCATTAATTCTAGTGTGAGGAAAGAAACTCACAACAGAGTTTCACTGACTCTATGTTTATTCCAACGACTGGTAAATACTTAGCATTAGGAGGGTGGTTAGTGCTCCTGCCTTACAGTAAGAAGGTCAGCATTTCCATCCCAGCAGTAGTTAACAGTCTTCCTGTACGAGGTGCCGTTAAGGTGACCCCCCTTCAAACTGACAACATACTGGACAAGTAGCAGGTTTGAGTTGGACAATGATGGACAGCCACAATCATTTAAAGCCAACACTTTTTTCATCAAGTAACATGTACGTATCTGGCCTTTTACCTCCACAAAACAAACAAAAACTCTATAGTACCCAAAACACAACCTCAACCTGAAAAGTATACACATTCATTCTTAATTCTTGCACATTTAACATAAAATAAACAGATAAGACACAATAAAATATGACGTGATGTCAAATTAAACAATTTCCTGTGCAAACAGGTCTCTGTAAAAGCAACACCTCCTGTGGATTATATGGCTATCTGGGACCAAAACATGGAAATAAAAAATACTCCACCTGCATTTTACACTGAATGATAAACACTGGTAACTTCTTCTGCAGTGACTTTGTTTATTATTTTAACTTAGTCTCATTTCGTTTCGCACTGTTGGATGTTTTCTGTTGTTGTGTGCGTCACACTCACGTGAGTCGTTTCCCATTCGCTCCACTGTCCGACAGAAAAGCCGTGTTTGCACCAATTGCAGAATTTTGGTTCAGAATCTTCATCCACCAGTTTCAGCCAAAATGTGGCGTCTTCTTTTTTCAGCACTGTACACATGGGCGCCTTCATAGTATCAAAACAACTGCGCTCTAATTTCAGACGCTAAACTGTTTGTAATTGCTGAGAGTCAGCAGTTTGATTGACAGGCCACTCAGCCTGTCAACTACCGCCGTATCCACGAAGTGACCTATCATTGCTGTGGGCTGCACTGACAGTCCTGTCCACAGACAACCAGCTACAGAAAATAGTTTATTTTCAATTAATAATGTCGAATGAAAAAGTGGGACAAAATGTTTAATTTGGGACAAAATGTTTAATTTGCGTGACGCGGGACAAAGGCTAAAATTGAAAAACAACGTTAAGTGGGACAAGTGGTCACTCTAGTTCAGGGGTCTCAGACTCGCGGCCCGGGGGCCAAGTGCGGCCCGCAGTACAATATTTTGTGGCCCGCACCTTAATATGAAGGTATAATATTAGTGTGGCCCGCGGAGAAAGTGGACCTCCGAATCAGCAAGCTCCCGCGCGCCGTCCCTTGTCGGGGCTATGCTAAGCTACACTAGCTTCGTGCACTTCACGCTTTAAACAACAGCACGGCGTGTAATGAACAGCCAGACAGCAGTCGCCTTAGCGCTTGCCATCTATCGTACTTTCTACCACAAATGCCATGATCAAGCGCAAAAAGAACGGCGGCTGTTACCGGGTTGTTTATCGTGTACGCTGCTGTTACAGATAGAAGCGTGTGACGGAGCACCTGTAGCTGCTGAGAGCATTCTCCACAAAACTTGTTATGGAAAGCCCAGCTCTCTCAGACAAACCTTTGCCATTTCCCAGCATGCAAGACACTTGTGGATGCAGGCACACCATTCAGTGGTGAGAAATATGTTGATGATATTTTGAAGCTACAGAAGGAATTTGATCACGGATTTGAAGACTTCAAGACGCACAGAGCCACTTTTCAAATGTTTGCGGACCCCTTTACCCTTCATGTGCAAGATGCCCCTCCTGTGCTTCAAATGGAGCTCATTGACCTGCAATGCAACTCTGACCTCAAAGCCAAGTTCAGGGAGATGAGTGGAAAAGCAGACAAGCATGGGCAATTTTTGAGAGAATTGCCTCCCAACTTCCCTGAGCTGAACTTCAATAAGTCCAAGTACAGGTCTTAGACTTACTGATGATCATCTTCAAGCCATACTGAGGGTCTCAACTGCTTCCTCTCTCAAGCCAAATGTGGTTCAGATTTGTGAAAAGAAGCGCTGTCAAGTATCTGGCAGCAAGGAGTAGGCAAGAGGAGCCATGTTCAGAAGAACCGTTCATGATTTTCACTCAATGTTCCATTCATGTTCAAAACACTTCATGTTCAGAAGAAATCATTAAAACTGTTAACTGTTAACATTTGAGGACTTTTTTTTTAAACTTTATTGTGGAATCCCTTACGCGGCCCACCCTCACCCAGACTCTGCCTCCAGCGGCCCCCAGGTAAATTGAGTTTGAGACCCCTGCTCTAGTTGCTGTGTTCACCATGTGCGCATGGATTTAAACTATTTAATTAATTCAGTTAATTCAATAAATTTTGCAGAATTCTGTTGTACAGCTGTGTACAACGTTAGCTTCAAATTACAAAACATTCATTTGAGTCAAAGTATATAAAATACTCTGCAAACAAACACAAACAAAACAATGCTGTCGGCGAAACATCAGAACCATCCTCACTAATCCACAGAATAATCTCTGCCTCGACAGAACAGAGCAAACCAATCTGAGTGTCTGAGGTTTAAATTTATTCATTACTGCAGAGCGTAAAAATAAAAGATATTCATCACCACTGATACTTAATATAGAGTTTTTATTAATTTAAAACTCAACCCCCTCCACCCCCCCTTTCCCCTCTTCAGGTAAGGACTGGTCTGGTGTGTGTGTGTGTGTGTGTGTGTGTGTGAGTGTGTTTATTGCCCGGGGCTGTGCAGATGATCAGAGATGATGAGTTGCATGCCTTCACACTACTGCGTCATAATGAGTGCTATGATTGGCTGAGTTAAGAATAGGGAAAACTGCTGCTGGTTTTAATGGTGGGTTTGTCTCTCTGTGTCTGTCCCTGTCCCCAGACACAGAGACAGAGAGTCTCTCTGTCTCTGTGTCTCTGTGTCTCTCTGTCTCTCAGCCTTCAGACTACAGTCATGCAGCTTCAAAACAACAGAGCCAGGGTTAGAATGATAAGAAGTCATAACATTACACACGTACAAATGTAAATGAAGGCACACGGCAATATCTGCTGATGGGAGAGGACATAGGAGACAGACATGGACAAATGAAGGACAGGAGAAGGAAAGATACAGGGGACCAGTTAAGGAAAATAAATATTCCTTCATTCAAGGTCGACGCCAGAGATTGGACGGTTACATCAGAACGATGGTTACATCAGAACGCCTATACAGTGGTTCCACCGTCGAGCGTCTGCTTGTGAGATACTGTGTGTATACATGTATACACATACAGCGCGCACACACACACACACACAAATAAACAGTATATATATATTTGTTCTCCACTTACATGGAGAACAAGAAGACTCCAGGGATTGAACCAGTGATCGTATGTAAGGCTGTAAGGCAAGTGCCCTAAACCACCTCTACACCGTGTGGTGTGTATCTTATGTTTGTTCTAAAGCGAGTCTCGTGTTTTGGTGTATGTTATACTGTGAAACTTCACACACATCAGTTACCACTGCAGAACCAATCACCAAACCTCTAGATGCTGTATAAGGCTAATGCACTAGCCGCCTCATCCACTGGGTGGCGTCTATTCTATTCTATTCTATTTGTGCTGCTGGCAATATTTTGAGGACAAAAACAAATTTCCATGGTGCAGTTTGTCTAATTTCACATTTCCCAGTCCCTCCTCTGTATGAATGGCCATCACCCAGAGCCAATCTAGTGGAAAATGAAACAATCTAAATATTCCGTGGGAGCTCAGTGAGACTTGTGTTCTCTTCAAACATCATTTCACAGGCTGCGTTTACAGCGTCGCGGTGAGCTATGGCATGACTCGTCCTTAGTCTCCTTATCGCAGGAGGAGAATGGAGTTGAAATTAGTTCCAGGGATGTACAACGTACGCAGACCTGCATACATTTCCAGCACAAGGACCGACACCCGACAGGATGCACACACAAACACACACACACACAGAGACACAAACACACCAGTTCAATTAGTGTCCAATCCTGGAGGACCCGGGTGAGGAATAAGTCATGTTTAGAGCACCTGTCTCCCGGCAGGACTGGTGCAGAATTAGAGCAGAGAGTTTGGGAGCTCTTCCACAAGTGCATGAAGTCATGGTCATAAACACATGCAGGAGACAAGCTGGAGGTCTGTCCTGTTTATGTGACGACTCTGAGGACAGCAGCAATAAATAAATCAATGCAGCTCCTCCGCCAGGCAGCCGTCAGTGAACACTCTGCATTCAAATGAAAAAGGCAACCTTGTGGAAACGTGAATGTAAAGTGACAGAAACAGACACAATCATATTCCATTCACAGACATTATAGTGTGTATGTGTACACCTGTGAAGATGCAATTGTGTGGACATTATTCTCTGGAAGAATGCTACTGATGTGAGGACTCCTGGTCTGCAGTTAGGATGAACTTTGGATTATTTATGTACACTGTATGTATTAGCAAGGTCACAGGGTTAGGGTTTTTGTCTTTACGTGTGCGTGTGTTTATGTGTATTATAGCCACCAGAGACGCAGAGTGACAGGTACATGTAAATATGTCTCTGAGAGACAGCCAATAAATATTCACTACGCTGTTCCCGCTGCATAATTCAAATGCACTGGAATTCATAGCATTTATTTCTCTGCATGAGCACACACATGCACAGTTACAGTTCTGGTTCACTTCACACGTTTAAATGCACAACCACAGCGCCACACACAGTTAGCCAATGGAACACTGTCAACTCTACACTCTGCTGCTACTGTTTGCTGAGCCCTTTGTGTACAACACTGTAACAAATGTTGCTCACGTCAATCAACTTGACTCTTCACGCAAGAACCACCGTTAGAACCACAGTTAGAACTCAGGTCTGCAGCCCAACTTGTGTCAGAGCACTCTGACTGAGTCACAACAGTCAGATGGATTGTTCAGGACTGTAGACTGATTAATATTGTTGAGGACAACGACTGGACTGAAGTTAATATTTATTTATTTATTTATCTGCACAAACCACTGTATGAGTTGCTGGCACCAGCATTCTGCATCCCATGATTATTAAAATAGATTCAATAAATGAGCTGCAATGCTGCCATCTTGTGACTTTAACTTTAATATACAGCTGTTTATCTCCAAATTATTTTTACATCATTGGGCCTAACCTGGGCATTGCATTATTGGAGGAAAACCCAATAACGATTCCTATATTACATAATTATGCTAATATCAGTCAGCCGATATTATCGGACATCCCTAATTATTATACTACCAGATGCTTGTATAGTGCTGAATATAAGAATATTAGATTTTTTTTCTGTCATGAATACATAACAAAAGGGAGAAATGAAAAAAAATCAAATGTACAGTGACATAACCTGGTCAGAAAGAGAGAGCGCCCCCTAGAGTTTGTTGAGGTTAACCTATTATAGCTCCACAGAATCACAGTGACAGATCTCAGGACAAACCTCTGCTACAGTGATGGAGTTTAATATGTAACAGTCGTTCAAACTCAAACTTGGTAAAATCCGACTATAAGCGGCCTCTTCATGTATATTTTATACAGACCGTCGACAGTCCGTCCACTTCAGTCGGGCGCTCTCTGTGGCCGTGAGGCGGCTGGTTTATGTTTGAGTAAACGTCAGCGCTCATCCCTAAATCTTCTGCTCCGATTGTGAGCCTGCTTTTGCATGAGGCTGGATTACACGTTACGCAGCCAGAATCAGAGAGAGTGTTGGAGAGGGAAATGACTCGCTCTCACCGCTGAATAAAACAGGCCATAGAGCTGACAGCCATACAGCATAAATCACCCCCACTGCCCCCCCCCACACACACCACCACCACAGGGTCACTAAAGAGAGGAGCAGAGTTAGATACGGGAAGATGAGGTGTCTGCGAGGGAAAAGACTAGCAGCTGACAATAAAGAGGAGTGAGGCAGTGGAGTGACGCCTGAATGGGAGAGAGAAGAAACTGTTCTGTAAGGTGAAAAGGAAGGTGTAAAAATATTTAAATGTCAAAGTAAGTGCTTGAAATCTGGAATGGAATTTGGAATTATTCGTATTTTGTTTGTCGCAGTTGAAATAGAGATAGCAATGGGAGCTTTTATGTAATCAGACATACTGCAGTACAGGATTGGATTTAGGAGAGGAGACTGAATTCAGAATGAAAATGAAAGGAATAGCACTAAAAACACCAAGGTGGTTTTTAATGTTGTTCTTCCCCAGTGTGGGATCAATGGAGTTCAATCTAATGTAATCTGATGAATTGATCAGTTGACAGATAGGGGTCAATTTTATATCTATATCTATATACTGTATATATGTATATATATATATATATATACTGTATATACATATATAATCATACAGTAACCATAGTTAAAAATTCAAACTTTTACCTTCATTTGTGTATTTACACCTTTAAACAAAGGCCTTGTGGACCATTTTCTTGTGCTCCCTGTCTACACTCAGACGTCCACAAGTGGGTGATGATGAAAGACCACAATGAGTTGTGTGAAGCAGACAAGAACTTATTTCTCAAACCAG